CAGAGGCGGACGTCATACTGCTCTTTATAGGGAAGTCATCTGAGGGTGAGCCATCAATACTGGATGGTGCTGTGCATGTTTTTGTGAAAGGACATGATCATCTTTTGAAGCATAGGTGGGCATCATCCTATCTAGTTGAGCAGTGTGAAGAGTATTTTTGGGCTGACAAGATCAAAGGTCTTTGTCAGGTATATGAAGGCAATGTACAAGATGTGTCTCTGCTCTGAGCATTGTGACTCAGGATAAACCCTGTCTATGACAATAATTTAGGAACTGTCACCAGTGTAACTAAGTCACATTTTACTCCCTGTGTTTTCTGACTATTATATGGAAAAATACTTGAAACTGACCTTTGGAGAGTTTGTAAGTATTTACGAAACGTATGGTCTTTTGCTATGCTAAAGGAAAAGGGGAAGGAAAAGGTCTAGCAGCCTATATTTCCATGTTTTACTCCATGTTTGTGATTTTAAATCTCTGCTGGGGCTCTCTCACCAAAGAGTAACCCAAACCTGGATCTTGGCATCCAGGAATTCTCCTTTATACAATTTTTCCTTGCCACCAACATTTTAAACTATACAATTTGTTACCACAAGATGTGTTGATGACCTTCAGCATATGGCTTTGAAAAAGAGTGTTAGACAAGATCAAGGAGGATGATAGTGTCAACAGTTGCTGGTCATGATAGCTACAATAACCTATGGAGTCCTAGATAATATGTTACTGAAGCCAACTTCCGCATAGCAATCATAGGATAAGGTGGTTGTCTTCATGCCTTGCTTGTAGCCTTGGAGACATCTGGTTGGCCATTGTGAATAACAGGATGCTGGACTATATTTAGGCTAAGGGGTGATCCAATACGATACACCTTATGTTCTTAAGATAACAATATGCTATTAATCTGCTTATTGTTTTAGGAATTGGATGGGCTTTATGTCTAAACAGGAAATCAATTCAAGATGCTCCATGTTTGAAAGAGATGAAAGCTGGGGGATTTATAAAATGTGGGAAACACACCAAAGAAAATGCAAATAATATTTTAAACTGTGACAATTTCCACAAGTTTGTGGGCAGAATTCAGTGCCATACTGGCAAATCTAGGCTGCATAATAAAAATCTGCACTACAAACCGACTTCCCAAAAAGGCCCCTAGACTTTCTGCAGTAATGAAAGTGACAAGAAAATGTACTGATGGTATAGTATAAAAATTGATTGGCATGACATCGTATAATCTCCCTTTAAGCAAATGAAAGTAGAACTTGAACCAAGGGATTCAAGTTAGAAGAAATGAGATTCTGACTAAACATCAACCAGGAATGGTACCCAACAAGTGCTAAGGAAATTTTAAAAGAGCAACAATGTGCATTCTGTTTAATGTGGTTTTTCTATTCAATTTACAAAAATGGGTCATTCAAAAAATTGTTCCTGGACTATGTTCCTGATTATTTCAGTCCCTGCTAGAGCTTGCATAAGAGAACTCAATGACAAATTCTGCCTGTAGTAAAAGGGGGCTGGGCAGCTACAGTTTACCTGAATAGGGAAATCCCATGTTACTAGATCTCAACATACAGTGGTACCTCGGGTTAAGAACTTAATTCATTCTGGAGGTCCGTTCTTAACCTGAAATTGTTCTAAACCTGAAGCACCACTTTAGCTAATGGGGCCTCCTGCTGCTGCCGCGCCGCCAGAGCACGATTTCTGTTCTCATCCTGAAGCAAAGTTCTTAACTCGAGGTACTATTTCTGAAGCGTATGTAACCTGAAGCGTATGTAACCTGAGGTACCACTGTAACAGCATCTGCATTCTCTCCATAAACAGTGAGTGTACTAATTATGTCTCTTCTGGGAAAAACAGGTAACATGGAAGCACAGAGACTAGGGTTTTTAAGAAATGTAGTTTATTTTACAAATGCTTTGATGCAGAGGAAGTTTGCAGCATTCACATTTCCAGAGGGGGTTGTCCTTCCCAGAAGCATAGCACTGAATTCAGAGGCATCCTAAGCACCATACCCCTGTCTCTCTGCAGCAGCCTGCTCCAGCCAGCCAGCATGGTTGCCGCCCTGCAGCCCTGCCATGACGTTCTGTCTCCTTCCTCCTTCTCCTTCCCAGCAACACTTGCAGAAAACAATGCCTCCCCCTTCCGCTTGCAGCATCCGTCCCCCCTCCCATCATCCTGGCAACCTCTGTCTCTCAAGCGGGCGGATTGCAAATGGCATTTCTTTTTTCCCTGTTGCTTACCTCAGGCCAGGAATAATCCTACCCCAAGGTAATCCTAATGGGGCAGAGAGTCTGATGGTGTGATGATCGCTTTCTATTATCAAGCAAACCTGGCCATTGGGGAACCTAGCAGATACTATTTCCTGGCTGTTGCTAAATTCATGCATTTATGAGTTTGCTCAAATCCTAACCCTCCACTGAATGTACAGATTATGAGGGTTCTACCCTCCCCCATGGGACGCGAGTGGCGCTGTGATCTAAACCACAGAGCCCAGGGCTTGCCGATCAGAAGGTCGGCGGTTCGAATCCCCATGACGGGGTGAGCTCCCGTTGCTCAGTCCCTGCTCCTGCCAACCTAGCAGTTCGAAAGCACGTCAAAGTGCAAGTAGATAAATAGGTACCACTCCGGCGGGAAGGTAAACAGCGTTTCCGTGCGCTGCTCTGGTTCGCAAGAAGCAGCTTAGTCATGCTAGCCACATGACCCGGAAGCTGTATGCCCAGCTCCCTTGGCCAATAAAGCGAGATGAGTGCCGCAACCCCAGAGTCAGCCACAACTGGACCTAATGGTCAGGGGTCCCTTTACCTTTACGTTTTACCCTCCCCCATATCAATTCCCTACTCCCTCAACCATTCCTCATAAGGCTTGGTGGGGTAGTGGGGGGCAAGACGATTCTGAAGATCTTAGTGACATGCCAGAAAGAGAGGATACCTCAGGACACTCAGGGCCCCAAATAGTTACACACTGGGGTAGAATAAATTTAATAGATTTGGTTCTCCTAGGTGTTATGCAGCTGTCAGATTGGATATAGGGATGATGGGATGGAATGCACAGCAGTTGATTCTTCATTATTCAAAATTCAACAACTAGCAGTCCTCTGGATTTCTCTCAAGCCTTAGAAGTTCCATTGTGATACAGAACAGCAATAAAGAGAAGCATGTCAATTTTTACATTAGCACAGCCAGAGATTAATTTTAGTTGAGGCACTGGGTAAAGAAAAACTATAGAGGCTGAATTATATAGCTTTGCCCAGGTCACACCCACAACATATATTTGAGGCACTCTTGCACCATTTGACTTCCCCAGAGAATACTGGCAGCTGCACTTTGTTAAGGATGCTGGCACTGCCCATGGGCCTGGCCTTTCTTGCCTTCCTCTAGGGAATGTTGACAATTCCTTTATTTCCTTTCCTTTTTGAATTTGTGTTTGTTGAAGAAAGGACACGCACGTCAAAAACATACGAGAAGGAAGCAAGGAAGGAAACAGCTGAATTAAAAGTAAACGTAACACACACAACATGCAAATTTGGGCCATTTCATTCACAACCCTTGAAAAGAACTATTATCGGGCATAGGGTCAGTAACATTTCCCCCCTTAATTTTTTGTTATTTTATCTTATCACATATTGTTGCTGTTGTTTTGTTGTTTAGTTGTGTCCAACTCTTCGTGATCCCTTGGACCAGAGTGCACCAGGCACTCCTGTCTTCCACTGCCTCTCGCAGTTTGGTCAAACTCATGTTGGTAGCTTCGAGAACACTGTCCAACCATCTCGTCCTCTGTCGTCTCCTTCTCCTTGTGCCCTAAATCTTTCCCAACATCAGGGTCTTTTCCAGGGAGTCTTTTCTTCTCATGAGGTGGCCAAAGTATTGGAGCCTCAGCTTCAGGATCTGTCCTTCCAGTGAGCACTCAGGGTTGATTTCCTTCAGAATGGATAGGTTTGATCTTCTTGCAGTCCATGGGACTCTCAAGAGTCTCCTCCAGCACCATAATTCAAAAGCATCAATTCTTTGGTGATCAGCCTTCTTTATGGTCCAGCTCTCACTTCCATACATCACTACTGGGATAACCATAGCTTTAACTATACGGACCATATAACAATACAAACGTTTGAGAGATACAGAAGGAACCAATGGCTTAGGTTTAGAAACATTGGTCAAAACATGGGGCCCCACAAAGTCCCCTCTTGTCCCTTTTCTTGATCACCCACATTCTTGGGATAGCGACAATTATGAGAAGATCAAAGGATGGGGAGACAGGGGTCTGTATATGGTTCATGACCTTGCTCAGAAGGGGCATCCTAGCTCAGAAGTTTCTCTCATATATATATATATATATATATATATATACACACACACACACACACACACACACACACACACACATACATACAATTTCAACATAACAAATTGTCAAAACAAATCATCTTCATTATTTCCCCCCTTTTTCTCTCTCCCCTCCCCAATAGACCCTTAGACTTCCCTCAGCTCCTCTCTCTGATTTCTCAACTCATATTGTTCTCTGCATATTGTAAAATTGTATACATCCTTATATTATCTATCCACTATATTAACCCTCAATAAATTTGTGTATGTTTATGCAAAACCTGCCAAGGAGTCCAGTTCATTTTGTTGCCTTTTTATTTATTTTTTTTATAAGATATTTATTAAGATTTTCAGGATATTACAAGACAAAAAGAAGAAAAAAGAAAAAATACAAAGTAAAAATAGTTAAAAACAATTCCTTCCTTCCATTACTTATCCTTCATTTGCTTATTTCCAGGACCTCCTCACACCTCCCTTTTTTGTATTCCAATTCAATTATTAGTTCAACAAATCCCTCCCCTCTTTATGTATCCTAATCATTAATCATAAAATATTGTAGTTTTAGATTTTAACCTATTAATAAACCATTTTTTTCATATTCCCTTATAACATTTCAGCTAAAGACCACTTAGTTTCTATCCAACATCATTCTAACATTCATTAATTTTGCAATATTTCTGTAAATAGTCTTTAAACTTTTTCCAATCTTCTTCCATCGACTCTTCTCCCTGGTCTCGGATTCTGCCAGTCATTTCCGCCAATTCCATATAGTCCATTACCTTCATCTGCCATTCTTCCAAGGTGGGTAGATCTTGTGTCTTCCAATACTTTGCAATGAGAATTCTTGCTGCTGTTGTGGCATACATAAAAAAAGTTCTGTCCTTCTTTGGCACCAATTGGCCGACTATGCCTAGGAGAAAGGCCTCTGGTTTCTTCAAGAAGGTATATTTAAATACCTTTTCAATTCATTATATATCATCTCCCAGAAAGCCTTAATCCTTGGGCACGTCCACCAAAGGTGAAAGAATGTACCTTCGTTTTCTTTACATTTCCAACATTTATTATCGGGCAAATGGTAGATTTTTGCAAGCTTGACTGGTGTCATGTACCACCTGTAAATCATTTTCATAATATTCTCTCTTAGGGCATTACATGCCGTAAACTTCATACCTGTGGTCCACAACTGTTCCCAGTCAGCAAACATAATATTATGTCCAAGATCTTGTGCCCATTTAATCATAGCAGATTTCACCGTTTCATCCTGAGTATTCCATTTCAACAGCAAGTTATACATTTTTGACAAAATCTTAGTTTTGGGTTCTAACAGTTCTGTTTCCAATTTTGATTTTTCCACCTGGAAGCCAATTTTCTTATCCAAATTATATGCCTCCATTATCTGATAATAATGAAGCCAGTCTCGCACTTTGTCTTTTAATTTCTCAAAACTCTGCAATTTCAATTTGTCTCCTTCTTGTTCCAAAATTTCCCAATATTTCGGCCATTTGGCCTCCATACTGAGCCTTTTCTGAGCCTTTGCTTCCATCGGTGACAACCACCTTGGGGTTTTATTTTCAAGTAAGTCCTTATATCTTATCCAGACATTTAACAATGCTTTCCTGACAATGTGGTTTTTAAATGCTTTATGTGCTTTAACCTTGTCATACCACAAATATGCATGCCACCCAAAAACATTATTAAAACCTTCTAAATCCAAAATGTCTGTGTTCTCAAGAAGCAGCCATTCTTTCAACCAGCAGAATGCTGCTGATTCATAATAAAGTTTAAGGTCTGGCAGGGCAAATCCACCTCTATCCTTTGCGTCAGTTAATATTTTAAATTTTATTCTGGGCTTCTTGCCTTTTTAAATAATTTGTTAAAAGTTCCCATTCTTCTTTAAAGTCACAGTTGTCTGAACTCGCAATTTGCATGTCAGTTTCACCAGTTCTGCATAGTTCATCAATTTCTCTTGCCACTGTTCTTTTGTCGGGGTTTCCTCATTCTTCCGTCCTTGTGCTATCAAGACTCTTGCCGCAGTTGTTGCATACATAAATAAGTTCTTTATTTTCCTTGGCAGGTCTTGTCCTACTATCCCTAACAAAAATGCTTCTGGTTTTTTTTACAAATGTCATTTTAAACATTTTCTTCAACTCATTGTATATCATTTCCCCAAAAAATTTAATTTCTCTGCATTCCCACCACATATAGCAAAAGGTCCCTTCCTTTTCTTTACATTTCCAACATATGTTTGACCCACCCAGCTCAGAAGTTTCATAACAATGTAATAAGTCTGCTGGATCAGGCCAATGTCCCATCTAGTCCAGCATCCTGTTCTGCCAGTGGCCAACCAGATGCTCCAATAGGAAACCAGCAAGAGCACTTTCCCCTCCCACAGTTTCCAGCATCTGGTATTCAGAAGCATTGCCTCCATGGTCTGTGAGCATGAACTGAGCATGAAGGGGTGAGTTCCCATTTTTCTGTGGGTCGATGATCCTGAGGTGGTTGCTACCCCAAGTTCCTGTCCTGGGTTAAAGGGTTTCTTTCCAATGAAATGGAGGACTCTCTCAGTACTGCCATTTAGCAACAGGTCTTCTGCCAAAAAGATTGCATAAGGGAGAGAGAGAGAAAAGGAGTTCCAGGAGCACAAAGGCAGCAGGGATAAATTTAGTGCTGGAACACGCCATGGGGGGAAGTCTGCTGTGGCAGACCTTTGTGTTAATTGCAGTTCAGCCTGTGCATCCTGAGCCCTCGTCCCACTATCTGACCACATGTGCTAAAGTTTCTCCTTCTGATCTCGCCTATCACCTACAATGTTTTTTCACAAGTCTCTTGTAAAGCTTGGCAGGCTGGCTGGATTTTCTCCCCAATGTAGTTAAGTTGGTTTCTGGTTTCCTACGTTGATGGCTGTTCCCCACCCTTTGCCCCCCAGAAGACACTAGAACAGAATTTCTCAACCTTGGGTCTCCAACATCGTTGGGCTGCAACTCCCATCATCCAGAACCAACAGGAGCAGCAGTCAGGGATGATGGGAGTGGCGACCCAACATATGGGAACCCAAGGTTGAGAAAGGCTGCAGTAGAGTATCAGGATCACATTGCTTCTCTGTTGAGATTTGACCCTCCCCCATCTCCCCCTGCGAAGACCCAAAGGGTCAGGGAAGAGTTTCCAAGAGCAACAGGTAGCATGTTGCCTCCTTATAGGGGGCCACAGCCCAGTAAATGAATAAATAAATACAATTTCCCTCTGGAATTTTGTCATAAAGATTCAAGAAGTTGTTCTCCACCCCCATGGGGAGGCCCTGTAATGCACATATTTGGAAACTCTCCAAAAGTACATTGGCTGCAGTTTGAACTTTAATTCATAATAGCCCTTAAGAGCCATGGTTCCCAAAAACACTTGAAAAATTGCTAAGGGGGTCTTGGCAGACCACTATAGTGGTTTTTCTGCCTGTTTCTAGATTCAGGTAGGAAGCCATGTTGGTCTGACGCAGTCGAAATATATAAAAATATACTTTAAAAATTGTCCAGTAGCACCTTAGAGACCAACTAAGTTTGTTCTTGGTATAAGCTTTCGTGTGCATATACATGTCTTCAGATACACTGAAACATAAGTCACCAGACCCTTATATATAGTGGGAGGCTGGGGTGGGGTTTTTATCAGGAGGGTAATAGGAAATGGGTGATTGACTCAATGGGTATGGTAAATCTGTTGACAACTGTTAACAACTGCAATTAGTCCTACAGGAAAAAGCAGGGGTAGTATGCAGATGATTAGCATATGTAATGAGACAGGAATCCAATATTAAGACCAGGTCTCTCCATAGTTTTCAGTTTAGTGATAAGTTGTAATTCAGCAACTTCTCTTTCAAGTTTGTTTCTGGAATTCTTTTGTAATAAGACAGCTGCTTTGAGATCCTGTATTGAATGTCCTGGGAGACTGAAGTGTTCTCCTACTGACTTCTCTGTCTTGTGATTCCTGATGTCAGATTTATGTCCATTTATCCTTTGGCATAGGGTTTGGCCTGTTTGTCTAATATAGAGAGCCGAAGGGCACTGCTGGCATTTGATGGCATACACAATGTTAGAAGATGAGCAATTAAATAGGCCTGAGATGATATGTTTGATGTTGTTGGGTCCAGTGATGGTGTTGTCTGGGTGTATGCAGCAGCAAAGTTGGCATCTGGGTTTACTGCAGGCTCTGGTACCAGTGTCCATGTTAAGTCTGCTTGCTGTATTATTGTGGGTGAGGAGTTGTTTAAGATTGGGCGGCTGTCTATAGGCAATGAAAGGTCTTCCTCCCAGAGCTTGGGAAAGAGAACTGTCATTGTCTAGGACAGGTTGTAAATCTCTGATGATGCTTTGAACTGTTTTAACTTGGGAGTTGTATGTGATTACTAGTGGTGTTCTGTTATTTTCTCTTTTGGGTCTGCCTTGCAGCAAGTTCTGCCTGTTGTTCAACAATTGCAATGCACTGCGCTAGGTGATGTATATGAAATTCAAATTTTAATACATTTTAAAAATAAATAAGAATACAATTAAAATTGGTATGGAAGGTGGATGTTCTTCATTCACATACCATGCATCACCTGAATGACATGCATGGGCCACAGGAAGTCCAGAGACCACATTTTAGGAGCCCCTGGCCTAGAGAATAGGTTTGCATTACCTTGGTGGATGCAACTTCAAGACGGGTTTATCTTCAGCCTTGCCCAATGAAAACATATGGTTGCTCAGATACTATTACTTTTTTCATCCTACATCTTGACTGTTGGATCCTGAATTAAGGGAATGCTTTAAATAGAAAATAATTTTTCCTTTATGTCTTTGACAGATAGTCCCTTTGGAAAGTTCTGAAGATGCGTCTAATAGAATCAAGGGCAAGAAGATGCCTTTTTTAGTATTGCCTAACTGAGCGGAAAATAAATCCTTAAGCCTTCTAGTGGTTCACTGCATTGCTTTAAGCCGCAGCTTTATGGGTGGTGGCGGCTGGCTCTGCTCAGGCTCTCATTGTGTGGTAAACTTTGCCCAGTTCATAGAGGCTAGGGAAGCTCTTTCACAGATGATTGGCTGTGAGTTAGTTGGCAATTTTGGAGTTAGTTGGCATCCATCTCGGGAGACAATGCTCCATTGGAAGGACTGCACCTTTGGGGGTGAAGTCAAACTACCTAAACTGACTGATGTCCATTAGGTTTTTTCTTTCTTATTTGCTTTCAGGATTCGAGGAAGTGTCCCAGATGCATTTCATGTTCTGGACCCAGCTACAGGGCATGATGGTGTCATGCTTTGACTTGCTCTGGTGGCTGCATTTTCTCCCTCAGTCCCTGAGGGAGAGCACACCAGGCACTCCTGTCTTCCACTGCCTCCCGCAGTTTGGTCAAACTCGTGCTGGTAGCTACGAGGACACTGTCCCACCATCTCATCCTCTGTCATCCTCTTCTCCTTGTGTCCTCCATCTTTCCCAACATCAGGGTCTTTTCCAGGGAGTCTTCTCTTCTCATGAGGTGGCCAAAGTATTGGAGTCTCAGCTTCAGGATCTGTTCTTCCAGTGATCACTCAGGGCTGATTTCCTTAAGACTGGATAGGTTTGATCTTCTTGCAGTCCATGGGACTCTCAAGAGTCTCCTCCAGCACCAGAATTCAAAAGCATCAATTCTTCAGTGATCATACTCAGCATCATTTCTGCAGGGCCAGTTAAAACCTTCTACCTTACCCCCCCCCCCCGACTTGATTCCTTCTCCGCTTTGAAAAAAGAAAATTACAATAAAGGCCTTGGGTGTTGCTATTTGCACTGGGGATACTGAATTTATGGGTTTTAGTGTGGATTTTTTTATAGTTTATTTTGTTTTAAATCCTTGTAATTTGGGCTACCTGATTATAGCCAGATGTGGCAGAATGGCATGTATATATTTGAATTATACACAACTGACAAAT